TTGATTTTCTGATCTTAGGGGTAGTGGTGGAGGAAAGTGCCACAATAATTTCCGAAAGTACATAGTATCAAGGGAAACGATTATACAATTCTGTTAAAAATGCATTCCATTTGATTCAAATGCCCCCTAACATATTCAGAATGCAAAGACATTGCCAGACCAAGAAAGCTGAAGGCGGGAAAGGTAAATTAAAAAAAAAAAGGTGGGGGGGGGGGATCCCTGGGTGGCTCAGTGGTTTAGCGCCTGCCTTTGGCCCAGGGCGCGATCCTGGAGTCCCACATCAGGCTCCCTGCATGGAGCCTGCTTCTCCTTCTGCCTGTGTCTCTGCCTCTCTCTCCTCCTATGTCTATCATGAATAAATAAATAAAATCTTAAAAAAAAAAAGGTCTAAAAACCTAGTTTATGTGTTCTCTTTAGTATTCCTTGTCATTTTTAGTGGTTGCAGCATCAAAGATCGGGAAAAACAATGAGTGAATTAGTAACTTTCTTACTAAGGAAACTTCCTTGATGGGGTGAAATGGGGTGTTTCCAAGAAGTTTTTATTTTTCTTAAGTTAAAAAAGACAGAAAAGAACCAAGAGCTCTACTTAACAAAAAGGCACTAAATACTGATTACTCCCAATTATTTCATGTTCTGTACCATTGGGAATGATCCATAGCACTTAGTACCATTTTGTTAAGTGTGAGCAACTACTTGTTAATCTTTATATTTTCATGTCGGTGAATTTACTTTGATAAATTCTATTTGCTCTCAACTGGGGATAGAAATGCTATGATTTTACTCTTCCTGCTTATTAAAAAATTTTAAAGATGTCTAAAGCACTCTCAATTCACAGGAGTTAGAGAGAAGTGGAAATAATTTAAGTATTATTTCTAAGACTAAGTGGCTATCACTGATCGTAAGAATCTGAATTTTACCCATCATTATTTAGTATCTGAGCTAGTCCTCTAAAGTAAATCTATTTTATTTTTGCTGACTTATCACAATTTTTTTTTTTTTAAAGAGGCAGAATAAGGTAGTAGTTCCAGCCCCAAAGCAGATGTGCATGATGATAGCGCCCAAAAGAGAATACCACTGTGGTTACACTTGACTGCACAGCGAGTTAATAGTGCTCAAGCACTTCCTACAGGGTGCATCCACTTGGAACTGTGGCTTTTCACCATAACAAACCAAATGTAGATCAAATTAAAGGGGTTAGCTTGGGTACAGGACACAGTGCCCTTTCTTGGGGGATCTCTGTCAAACACGGAAATGATATCATCACAAACATACTTGCGATTTGACAGTTTCATAGGAACTAATTGATTTGTCTCTGGGCTTTGTGTTAAACAGGTTTTTTTTTTTAAGTTTTTATTTATTTATTCATGGGAGACACAGAGAGAGAGGCAGAGACACAGGTAGAGAGAGAAGCAGGCTCCATGCAGGGAGCCCGACATGGGACTTGATCCCTGGACTCCAGGATCACACCCTGAGCCAAAGGTAGATGCTCAACCGCTGAGCCACCCAGGCGTCCCTGTGTTAAACAGGTTTTTGTTGTTGTTGTTGTTAAACAGGTTTTAATGAAAATATACCTCTATAGTTCCAATTCTTTGGAAATGTGGCACACAAATAAGGTGTGCATAAGGGTTTTATTTGATTTTGAAAAAGCTGAGGCAGAAAACAAAGTTTTGTATATTCAGTCAAATAGTTGCAATACTGGAAATTGAGTTTGGGTATGAAAAGTTCAGTTTGCATCACCAGTTGTTCATATGATGTATCCATCAGAAAATAAAGATACTTCTCTATTGATTTCTGAGCCTTTTCTATAGAAATTTAAAAATGAACACTAAAACAGCTTTGTTTGTAATTTCTTATGGAAGTCAATTAAATTTCCTTATACTAATAAAAATGATGATAACTATAATCTATTCATCCCTTTCTAGAATTACTACTACATAAGCCCTGGTAGAAATTAGTGAATAAGTTAGTATCATGATAAGTGAGTATAAGATCTGTGTTTGTGGCAGTAAATTTAAAACAAATCATTCTTCTTGATGAGTACTGGATCTGGAATCAGATAGCTTGGGTTCTAATTCTTACTCTCTGGTTTGCTTGGTCTTTATGGCAGGTCCTCCTTAACCCTTCCTGGATTGTTTAATTGTAAAATGGGCAAAGTAATAATAATGCCTGTAAGAGGGCTTCTGTCAGAATTTGCTGACATGACCTGTATAGTGGCTAGCATAGTACCCAGCACACTGTGAATGGCTGTTATTACATGTGTCTTGTTTCCTTGACTTGACTGCAAGCTTTGATAAGGCAGGGATGATTTCATATAGTTTTCTGGTCCCTTCATCACTTAGCACACTATCTTATAATTTTTTTTTTACAGATTTATTTACTTATTCATGATAGACATAGAGAGAGGCAGGAGGAGACACAGGAGGGGGAAGCAGCAGGCTCCATGCTGGGAGTCCAACGTGGGACTTGATCCCGGGACTCCAGGATCAAGACCTGGGCCAAAGGCAGGCGCTAAACAGCTGAGCCACCCAGGGATCCCCCACTATCTTATAAATTACAGTCAGTACTGAGATTTAAAACTAAAGACCTTGACTATCAGTTTCCCCAGGGCTGCTCTAGACCTGTCTCCCATTCTAGTAGAGCCTCTGAATCCACTTTGAGTTGTGGTAATGGTAGTTCATGGCTGTTTCTTATCCTAATCAAGAGCATCCAATCCAATCAAGCATTCAGACAATCAGCCAAAGGCCTGAGGCTAGATGTAGTGCAAAAGAAATTCCAGATGGTCAGGGCATTTAGGAGCTGTTACTGGGTTTCTTAGGCATTTCTGGCTCCTGGGAGGTGTGTAATTTATCTCATTTAAGTTAAATCATGCAGAGTATAATTTATGCCCTCCTTCTTTAGCTCTTCTCATGGTAGAGTGATAAGCTAGCTAGCATTCTCCTTATCGAAGGACTTGTCACTGAACAACTTATCAGCAATAAGCTCACAGATAACCTGTGGTCAAAGTACGGATCGATGTCCTTTAAACAGACTTTCTATGTTTTACTTCTTCAGTTTTTTTTTTTTACTGAGCAGTTTGGTGTGACCTATTCCAAAAAAGAACTAAGTTTCATGCTGGTACATATTCCTTCCCACCTTCTGTTAGTAAACACTGAGTATAGCAGCAAGGTTTCGCAAGGCTGGGTTTCCTTATGGATTGGTGTGAGACTTGAATTTTAACCTGGTATAATCTAGGAGTTGGAGGTAGGCTTTGAGAATATTTTCACTATCACTATAAAATACTTGGAAAGTTTGGATAAGGCCTTCCTTCTGGCTCTTTTCATTCTTCCCAATGCTCTGTGGTAATATTTCCTCATGTGGCCAGCACTGCAGCTCCCTCTTTGGTATTTCTTTTGTCTACTTCCATTCTATCTTAATCTAAAAAATAAATTTCTAAATTTTTTTTAGTTCTGTCAGTGTACACTTGCAGCTGCACACAAATTTGATTATAAGCTCTATGGTGCTGGGAAAAGCTTCCATTTTTTCCTCCCAAAATGACAGGCAGTGTAAATTATAAAGTAAAAAAATAGTGTGTGTTAAAGCACTGCCAGCAATAAATAAAAATGGCTTTTTTGGAGGAAATAACTTTAGAAATGAGGGAGAACAAGGTGGGAGGAGGAAACAATCCACAAGGTTAGGAAAGGAAGAGCCACATTTCGAAGAGCATGGAAAGATAAAGACAATGCAAACACTTAAGGGGTCTCTATCCCAGGCAACCCTCCGAGGGTTAAGTCACATAGGGCAGTTAGGTTAGATTAGATTTGCTAGTTTCTCTCCCGACAGATACTGGACCTTTATTTCCCAAGGACCACTCACTCCGCATTGTTGAGTGTCTAACTTATGCCAGGGATCTGCACAGCAGGTGAAAAAAAAACAAAACAAAACAACAGCACAGTTCGTCTTCAAGCGTTTCTAGTCTTTAAAACAGAACACTCTAAGAGGTGAAGTATAAAGGGCCCTGCAAAAAAAAAAAAAAAAAAAAAAAAAAAGAGAGAGAGAGAGAGAGAGAAAGCAGCAACTAGAAGCTTGGAAGAGTCCTCGGGGCTCCACGAAGGAAAGGAGTCCTGGCCCGAGGGAGAAACAGAATTTTCCTAAGTTTCTGTATCTTTCAAAAATAAACGATAACGTTGAAACAGATTCATCAGCCCGAGAGCAAAGGGTTGGGATGAAGGATGACATATCGCACGGAGGATTTAAAACGCAGGAATTTACACACAGCGGTCCCCCCTAAGTGTCAGGAAAGAGAGGCCTAGATGACAAACGCTATAACGGGTCGCACTGACGTCCACCTGCGCCTTGCTAAATGTAGACGGCCGATCTCGAAATATCTAGTGAGGGGCGGGGAGAGGGTGCGCCCACTCTCATCCGATTTTGCACACAACAGAGAGGGAGAGAGAGAGAAGCCTCCTTTCATGGTTCCAAAAACCCTCTCCTCCCGTCGGCCTCTGTAGTTTTTAAGGGCCGTGCGAGCTCTCTCTGCAGGGAGTTTAGAGGTTTTCCCCACCCTCTTGTCAAGAGAATAAGAGCATTTAAATTAGCGGGAGGGCGGTTAACACCCGCAGCCCCGGCTCCCCTGCACGCCTCGAGGCCCGCTGGGGTTCCCTCCCCGCCCGGCTTCGGCGCGAGAGAGAATCCAGGAGCGCTAACGGCCGCCGCGCAGCAACGGCTCCCGGGCAGCGCGCGGCGAGCGTTGCGCGCTCGGGACTCGCAGGCCAGCGGCGAGTTGGCCCGGCGCAGGGAGGAGGGCGGGGCCGAGCCGTGGGCGGCTCTTGACGAACAGTCCTTACGGCCAATGGGAAGCCCGGTCGACTTTTCCGCCTGCCAATAGGGAGCGGGGCCCAGGCCGGGGGGCGCTTCCCGCGGGCTGCGGCTGGATTCGATCCTGCGCGGCGGCCGCGAGGGCGGGGGCGGAGGCTCGGCCTGGGCGGCGGGGAGCGGATTAGGGGAGGAGGGAAGACCGGAAGCCCCGGCCGCGTCCCCATCCTTAGATTCGCTCCCCGGGGCTGGAAGCAGAGACGGAGGAGGAGGGAGAGGCTGAATGTGGGCTCCGTAATAAAGGGGAGCGGCCGCTCCGGAGCCGCCTCCTGGGGCGCCCCCCGCCCCCCGCATCCCGCCCGCCCTCTGCGCCCGCCCGGCTCCCGCGGCCCGCCCGGCAGCGCGGACCTTCGCTCGAGAGGCTCGGCCAGTGGCGGGGACCGGCCGGCGGCGTCCGAGGCCCGCGCCCCGCCGCCACCCCCACCCGCTCGCCCGCCGGCCCCTCCGGCCGCCGCCATGTCCTCCTCCTCCTCCTCTCCCAGGGAGACCTACGAGGAGGACCGCGAGTACGAGAGCCAGGCCAAGCGCCTCAAGACCGAGGAGGGGGAGATCGACTACTCGGCCGAAGAGGGCGAGAACCGCCGGGAAGCGACGCCCCGAGGCGGGGGCGATGGCGGCGGCGGCGGCGGCGGCGCCGGCCGGAGCTTCTCTCAGCCGGTAACAAAGCGCGGCGCCCCGTCCGCGGTGCCTGGCGGCTCCCGGGGAAGCAGGGCCGGGCGGCGGGGCCCTCCGCGCGCCCGGGGCCCCCTCCCTGCTGCTGCTGCGCGGGGCCGGCCGGGATTAGCCTGTCTGCCCTACCTGTTTCGCGCATCCCGACCGCGAATCCGGCTCCGGCCTGGCCGCAGGCCCCGCGCGCGCGCGCGCGCCCGTCCGCCGGCCCTGAACTCGGGGAGGGGGGCCGGGCGGGGGCGGCCGGGCGGCGGGGGCGGCGGGGCGGCGGGGCGGCGTTGCTTCCGCGCCCGGGGGGCTCCCGAGCGCCGCTCGAGCGCCGCTCGCTCTTTGTTAGTTCAACTCCGCCGGCGGGCGGGCGGGCGGGCGGGCGTCGGCACGACCCTCGGTCTCCGCCTCCTGCCGCCGAGCCCGCAGCATCCGCGCGCCCCGCTCGGCCGCGGGACGGTTTGCGTGGGTTCCGCCGGGGTCCCTCTCCGCCTGGGGCCACTGACAGGTCGCGCCCCAGTTCTGGAGGTTTAATTTCAAAATTTTCACTCTTGGCAGGCATGGCGCGCGCGTGCATGCCTTTTTCCTACCCAGTTGCAGGATTCTTAGTACAGGTTTTAGCCCTTCTTTCAAAAAAAAAAAAAAAAAAGTGTTGGTAAGGTCTTAACACCGCCCTTGTTTTTAAGTAAAATCTTAAAATCGCCTTAGTTCTTCATTGGCCGTTTGCTCGTTGCACATTTGCCCCACGAAAGGAGGAACAGGACTGTGACTGCCTTAAACACACATTCCTGCATTCTTGTTGCTCTTGTTAGCTGGAGGCAGAAGGAATGTGAACAGTCGTCTGGTCCACAGCTAGTAGTAGTAGTAACTCGGCTTCAGTTGCATGACTGTAAGGAAACAAAGCAAAGCAAGTTGTCGCCCTTTTTTGGGTGCCCTTAAGGGGTCTTAATAGCCTAGATGTCCTTCAAACATTTAACACAATTGTGATTTTTTTTTTTTGAAAGGAAACTTTACCTGAAGTTTAAAAAAAATTGTGCACACATATTCTACTTAGGATGTTTTCACTTTTTATAAGAGGCGAATTATATAGGTCTTTAGTAATAGTTTGAATTTTTACGTAAAAAATTCTGGTCAGGTAGTCCGTGTTAAGAGTTTCCAAATGCCAAACAGGTTTCAACACGTTAGAAAAAAAAGGAACTTTTTCTTCTTCTAAATAAATGTTTCCTCCTGGCTAAATAATAGCTTTTGATTTTTGTGCCTAGGTATTTGGAATATTCAGAATGTAACTTGAACATGCGAATAAAAGAAATGCATGTTTTCTTAAAGTTTCAGTTCAAAGACCATTTCACTGTGGAATTGAAACAGGAATATTGTAACTGATATTTTATTTTTTTATTTTTTTTAAAGATTTTATTTATTTATTCATAGGCACAGAGAGAGAGGGGCAGAGACACAGACAGAGGGAGAAGCAGGCTCTATGCAGGGAGCCCGATGTGGGACTCGATCCTGGGTCTCCAGAATCACACCCCAGGCTGCAGGCGGCGCCAAACCGCTGCGCCACCGGGGCTGCCCTGTAACAGATATTTTAGATGGATCTCACGGATCAGTGTATTTCTTTTGCCAAAAGTCTTGAGTTTTTTGCATAGCAGCATGAAATATCTCCCTTCAGTGTCTTGGAAAGATACTTTAATCTGTTTATGAAAAAAATTTTTTTGAAAAATTGATTAAACATTAGGGCAATAGTATTATTTTGGATGTTGGTAAGAAAATAATATATAATTAACATATCCAAAGTGAATTGTATCTGGCAGTGGAAATAGCACTGGGCAAGGCTTGAGGAGAGTCAGAAGTCTTAGCTAGCATACAATCTATGTGCCTTTGGGGAAAGTCCGTTAACAACTACTCTTGAATTTGCTTAGTCTGTAAAATATAAAAAGTTGAATCTTTCCATACCTGATGTAGTTGAGTGATTAATGTAATGCCGCTTTTAAATTACCCAGGCAGGAACTAACATATGCAGATTAAGTTAAAAATTCTAATTTTTGTTTATCTTACAGTTTTGTTTCTTAGGGGAGAGTGAATTGCTTTTATTCAACTGTAGAATCCAATACTGTACTGTGAAATCTAATGAAGGCTTATTTTTCCTGTCTTTAAGCTTTTTTATTCGTGTAATTTTTGGTACTATTTTGAAATTATTGCAACTATGGAAACCTGTACATAATAAAATTTTATTAGGATAGACATTCCCTAGATAGAAGTTTAATGTCTAGTGCGTCATCAGCCAGAAGTATGATAATTCATCTAACTGAAATGGATTTGGCTCAACCTCCAGCCATTGAAGAAATAAATACCTGATGGTCAAACTGTTAAAAACAGTAAATGTAGATTAGATAGATACAATAATAATCAAGCTTTTCCACTCCAGTTGGAGGTTTGTAAGATGCAAAGACTTCAAAGATTTACATTATTTTGCTTTGGATAATTAAGTTTCCATGAGTGCTTTAATAATGATTAGATTTAAAGACGACCGTATTTTAGAAAAGCAGTGATGGGGCTCCTGGGTGGCTCAGTAAATGTCTGACTCTTGATTTCGGCTCAGGTCCTAATCTTAGTGTTGTGAGATCAAGGAGTCTCCCCTCAAGCTCTACGCTGGGAGTTTACTTGTCCCTCTCCCTCTGCTCCTCCCCTCTCACGTGTGCTCTCACTCAAATCTTTAAAAAGAAAGAAAAGGAGTATTTTTATAGATACTTATAATTTAAAGATGAATTGATCATTGTGAATGATCGTGTTGTTTTAAGGTGTATAGACAAATGAGTTAGGAAAAGAAGAAATGAATTTGGATATGAGAAATAAGACACTTTAGATTTATGGCTTCTTGTACTTAATTTGAAGATCAAAAATTCCTAGAGTGTTTCATATCCACTTGACTGCATTGTTGCGCAAAGCTGGATTATGGAGGTTTGTGCTATGTATTATACAATTACTTTATTCTTGTAGAGTGAGTAGTCTTAAATTTAGCAGTCATGACCTTCAAGATCATATTAATGGTATATTTCTGTATCTGCTTTATTTTATTTTTTTAAAAGATTGTTTATTTGAGAGAGAGTATAAGAGAGAGAAAGCAGAGTATGAGGGGATAGGCAGAGAGAGAAGCAGGAGCAGACTCCATGCTGAGCAGGGAGCCTGATGTGGGGGCTCAAATCCTAGGACCCGGGACCATGATAGATGCCAAAGGACCACCCAAAGATAGATGCCCAACCGAGCCACCCAGGCACCCCTGTATCTGCTTTTTTTTTTTTTTTTTTTTTTTTTTAAGATTTATTTATTCGGGAGAGGCACAGAGAGAGAGGGAGAAGCAGGCTCCCTACAGGGAGCCCCATGTGGGACTCGATTCCGGATCCAGAGATCACACTCTGAGCCGAAGGCAGATGCTCAACCGCTGAGCCACCCAGGCATTCATATCTGCTTATTTTTAAAAAAGCAGTTTGACTTACAAATATTAGGACTTTACTTGGCAAAACCAGTTGAGGAATTAAATTGGGAGGTTACATAGAAAAGATCTTTTATAAAAGACTGGTATCAAAAAACATTTATAGAGTGCTAATTCATTTTGGAGGCTTTTAAGTTTTTCATTCACTGTATTGTGCTGGTGAGTAAACAGGCAAATCAGATTGTTAAAGTGGTTTGTTTGCTGATGTGAGAATTTATTTCTCAACTTCTTAATAAATAGACTTACAAGATGGCAAAATGCCAAGATAAAAATGTAGATCCTAAGATTTCCTAGTGATATATATCATATAGAGAATCTAGTTTGAATTTATGATACACTACTTTAAGGATCTGAATTACAAAGATGCATAGGAATATTGTGATGGCTTGTTGGATGAATGTGGGATGGGAGATGAGATGAGGTCACTTTGTTAGCTTAGCTCCCACAGGAAAAGTTTAGAGGCGGACAGTGAGCATGGTAACTATACCCCTGGGCAATAAAAAAGTTAAAGGATGTGTGCCCTGGAGGGAAGTGCCAAAGTCTTGAGGCTTCTATAGCAATAGTGTTCCCTGTCTCTTTTAGCTAAGCTGCTGTGTAGTAGCGTGAGGATTTTCTGGCCTGATATTAGGAAAGAAGTGAAAAGTAGTAGATTTTACTATCTTTTTTTTTTTTTTAAGATTTTATTTATTCATGAGAGACACACAGAGGCAGAGACCTAGAGAGAGAAGCAGGCTCCCCGAGGAGGGGAGCACCATGTGGGACTCTGATCCCAGGACTCCAGGACCACACCCTGAGCTGGAGGCAGATGCTCAATTGCTGAGCCACCCGGGTGTCCCTGCTATCTTATGGTTTTAACAAGTGACTATATTTCATCATGTTAGTACATAACAGTGAAAAGAGCTGTTAATAGAGCCATAAGCCCAACCAAGGCAGTTGTCTTGGATCTGCTACCAACATGCTTTGTGACTTAACCTCTCTGGAACTCAACTATCACATGGGGAGGTTGGATTAGATGATCACTGTGATCTCTTAATTCATCAAAAAACAATACTTGAGCACCTTTTGTGTGCTAGATGCTATTCTCACTGATGGGGATATAAGAAAAAAAAATTACATATCTAAAAATCTGTGATTCTACATCTTTAGTACTTTTTTTTTTGCCTCTATGAAATTGGATACAACTTTCAAAGCTTGCAGTTGCAGCCACAGCAACAGTTCAGGTGAGCTTAAGCAAAACAAAAAGTTGGCAGATGTGGGGAATTTTACTGGCCCATGTAACTGGAAAGCCAAGTTGTGGTGGTTTCATGCATGGCTGAATCTAGGGATTTAGGTGATGTCATGGTGACTTGATTCTGTGTGCTTTATATCTTCTGTGTAGTTATAAAGCTAGACTTACATTCTTAGCGCTAGCAAATAGAGAACACTCTCTTCCTCAGTGTCCATGTGTATCCCTTCTGATCAACACTTTTTATCTTTGTTCTCCCTGCAGCTAATCACTGGGCTACCTCAG